CCAGGGGGTGCTGGTCAAGGTGCAATGGTTATTGTGTGCCTGGGCTCTTACTCTGTTAACCACCAGGGGGTGCTGGTCAAGGTGCAATGGTTATTATGTGCCTGGGCTTTTCCTCTGTTAACCACCAGGGGGTGCTGGTCAAGGCTCAATAATGCGGTGAGAACTCTAGCATGGAGGGTGTGCTCATAAAATTGGGTTGGGGGCTTTTATTTCCCCCCTCTTGGACCGCTAGCTTGGCTTCTGGCAGGTGGTAGCAATTCCTTCCAGTTGGAGAAGTGATCAGAGCAGATAGAGGAACTTGGAACTCTAGATTGTGCTTCTTCAGCCTGGGTCCGGGTGAGAGTGCCGGGGTGGGAGGGAGGGGCAAGAGCAGACAGGGTGCTGTTGCAAAAGCTCCACAAGAGGGCTTGAGGTCAGGGAGGTAGCGATGAAGATAGAGAAAGAAGTGTTCTTAAAAAGAAAGCTCATTGCTGTCGAGTTAGAATCAACTCATAGCTGACCTATCGTTGGGTTTCCAAGACTGGAAATGGCATGAGAGGAACTTACCTGTCTTTCTCCCTTTCCTGTTGGGTTCCATTCGCCAGCGCAGCATGGACTTGGGTTAGCAGCGCAACTCCCTATGTAAGAATTTATAAGATTAGAAAAGGCAGGATTTGTAAAACTGAGTTAAAGACGAGTGTAGGACAAGGAACTCTCCAAGTGTCTTTCTTCCTCTCAGCCCAGCCAGCAGCATTGGCTGGAAAAATCTCAATCAGCCCAAGTCCTGGGGTAGAGGGAGGATGGGAAAAGATGTCTCAGGGAGGGGGGGCTCACTGAAGGAGGCAGTTGTGGAGAAGGAGGAAAGGAGCTGCCCTTACTTGTTAGAGACACACACCAGATGTCGCTCTGCCCTTCAAGTGTTCCCAGAGAGCCAAACAAGCCAGGCAGTGAGTGAATGCCAGCAAAGCCTGATCTGGGAGGAGGCGAGGCCAGCACCAAGGAGTCTTGTGTGGGGCTAAGGGATTGTCATCGTTGTTGTTAGGTGACATCAAGTCATAGCAACCCTATGAACAAAAGATCTGAACCCTGTTCCGTCCTGAGCCATCCTCACACTTCCTGACACACAAGAGCCCATTGCAACAGTCACCTTGTCAGTACACCTGGTTCAGGGTTTTCCTCTCCTTGGCTGACCCTCCACCTTTCCCAGCATCATGTCCTTCTCCAAGGAATAGCCTTTTCTAGCAACATGACCAAAGTATGTGAGCCAAAGCCTCATCGTTCTTGCCTCCAAAGAGCACTCCAACTACTCCCTCTCCTAGACATATCTGTTTGTTCTCTGCCGTCCACGGGACGTTCAGTGCTCTTCTCCAACACCACAGCTCAAAGGCGTCAATTCTTTCTATCATCCTTTTTCACTGTCTAACTCTCAGATAGCCTCAAAAGCAGGTGACATTTGAAGTAGACCCTGAAGTTGAGAGAGATTATCACAGATGAGAGGGACACCCCAGAAGGAGGGGGACATGTGCAAAGTCATAGAGTTAGGAGATCTAGGGTGTGACAAGAGGGGACCTGGAAAGACAGCAAGGTCCACTCTGGGAGAGCCCACAGTGCAAGTTGAGCTTCTAGCTTTTTCCCAGAGGGCAGCAAGGCAGCCTGTAGGCATTTTGTGGGCCAGTCAGGAATTGAAAGGAAGAAGATGCAGGGATTTGTTCTTATCCTCTATAACCTGACCTCTGTCCCAAAAGCCTTCTAAAGAAATAGCTTAGAAAGGGCAGAGACCTGCCCCAGGTGGCACAGAGAAGAAACTAGGGCCCATCGTGGCCTGAGTCACACAGTAGTTCCTATACTGGGGCAGGGAGAAGAAGGAGGATGAGCTTTCACCCTGAATTATCTCCAAAAACTAGGGAGGCTTATAAGGCTGGGCTCTGAAGAGGCTCAGGAGCCCCTGGGTGAGGACTGGGACCTTGAGAAGGAAAGGAGGAGAGAAGGTCTGGAGGGTGGCCCCCTTGAATGCAGCTGTATCTGATAGCTTCCTCTCTACCCTTGCAGGTACGAATTTGGCCCAGCCCTGTTCGTGGGCTGGGCTTCTGCTGGCCTGGCCATGCTGGGGGGCTCCTTTCTCTGCTGCACGTGCCCGGAGCCTGAGCGGTCTAACAATACCCCACAGCCCTACCGACCTGGGCCGTCAGCTGCTGCCCGAGAGTACGTCTGAGACCCGCCTACCCTGACAGCCAACCTGCCTAGTGGCCCCCATGCCTGGCATCCAGCTTGGGGCAGTGGGGGGCATAGAATGTCCCCTGAGAACAGCCTGGAGCTTTGAACAGCATATCCCCCACATAGACACCCACCCTGAGATCCAAGGCCCAGGCCCCGCAGCCTGGCCACATGATACAGGTCCAAGTCCAGACTTTCAGACCCAAACACACCTTCTTGGGCTGTGTCTGCTTTCTCACTGAGCAGTATGAGAATGTCTGCTGTGTGCCAGGAGCTTGGCATCCACCAGAGGCTAGGAGCAACTCTAGTGCCCAGCACCTTATGATGGGCAAAGCCTGTGGCTTCCCAGACCCCCACTGACTCCTCCCAGCAACTCATGGGATGACGGATGATCCCATGCCCTACTAGAGGCAACAGAATTCAGAGACACCAACAGACTTCAGGGATTTTTCCCAGTATGTCCGGCATTGCTGTCAACACCCACACAGAGGACTGGGACAGTCCACACCACCCCAGATAATGGGTCAGGGGCAGCACAGGGCCAAGATGGGACTAAGCTGGCCAGTCCAGCGCACCACAGCCCCTGCCCACCCCTGCCCCATGGGCCACTGCTGCTTCACTAACTGGCTCTCTCTCTTTTGACTTTCAGACCAATTGTTAAATTGTCTGCCTCCACCAAGGGCCCCCTGGGTGTGTAAGGGCCACATCCCCAGCCTGGCTCTGTGCCCCTGCCACACCTAGACTGATTTTTTTTTTAATGGAAAGACATCAGCATCCAAACCCAAGTGTGGTGTCGTTTGGTCTGTCTCTGGCATGACTGGAGTAGGGCAGCTTCAGAGAGGTCAGAGCTGCCACTGGCATCTTTGGGCATAGAAATGTAGAGTTTGAGGTGGGTTGGGTGGGCTATATTCAAAACTTAACAGGAAAGCCCTTGGAACTTCTCTTCCCTCCCCTGGTAAACCCTTCAGCTTGGCCTTGGGCTTGGCACCAGCTAAGAGATACCACTTTACCTGGAGGTTGCCTGAGGCCCCAACAGGAGAGACACAGCCCCACCTCAGTTACTCTGGTCTCTTCTTGGGTGTCCAGGTGAGGAAAGAGGCAGTCATAGGGTTCCCTCCAGTTAGTTGCTGGGCATCAGAGCTGGGTGCAGGGACATTTATGGAAGAGAAGATTAAAGGAAGGACATTAGACCTTCAGGAATTGGGACTGCCCTGAGCATCCTTTTGCCACCCTCACCAACCTCCACCCTCACCCCAAGGTTGGCTGAAGCCCAGTGACAGTCCTGGAAACTGAGAAAGAAGGAAGGGCCTGAGGCCTCACTGAAACTACACCCAGCTGGAGGGCTTGTTTTTAAGTTCAGCCACATCTCTTCAGTATGTTTTTTGCTGTTGCTACATGCCATCATTCCAGGCTCCGGTTCGCTATGAGTTGCAAACGACTGGACGGCACATAACAACAAACAACAACAACATGCCATTAGTTGGAAGCAACTCACAGCTGACCCTCCAGAGGGTTTTTAGAGACTAAGTCACACAGGAGATTGCCCATCTTTCTTCCACAGAAGAGCTGATGGATTTGAACCAAATGTGTTTGGGTTGGCAGCTCACCTTCTTATCACTAAGCACCAAAGCTCCCTATTCCTTAGTATGAAAGGGGGGAGGCCCCAGAGGGATGCTGGGAAACGAAGCCAGGCTGCCCCTGGGTCAAGCCCTAACCTCAGTTCTCCCCAAGCACAGTGTACAGGCCTTTGTCCCATACACAGGCCTCACCAAGTCCAAATCTCTCTAGATGCTGTCTCTCTCTCTCTCTCTCACCATTGCCCTATCTCGCTCTTCCCCATCAGTACAACCCCTTCCTGGAAAGAACTGTCCACTGCTCTCCCTCCGCCCTGACTCCCATGCTCTCCTCAGCCTGCTCCATCTCCCTTCAGTGACCACATCACACACTGAGTCCCCAGAGCCACAGGACACAGCTCTCTGCCTTCTCCCTCAGCTTGGCTCTGAGAGGGGAAGTGACAGAGACAATCAGACAAGACTGCTGACTCCACCCACAGGTGGGGGTGGGAGGAAAAGCAGTGAGGAGCTGCTGTGGCCTGATAGCCCCGACATGTCCTCAGGGATAGCTGGATAACGAGCAGCCATGGTGAAAAGCTTGGCCAGACTCAAGGCCCTAGGGCTTGATCCAAGGTAGTTTGATCAGAGTCCTGACCTTAGAATCATGAATAAGAACTAGAACAAAAGTCTCTCTGGGCACCAGAAGCTATAATGAAGGTGCTCCCCTCTCTGGATGAATGCCCCTGGGGAGCTGAAGCCCAGATTCGCCACCTCCTAGGTTATCTAGGATGGGCCTGAGCATCTGGTTTCTGAAAGCTCCCCAGGGGACCACAGTATGTGGTCTCACTGAGGGCTACCATGATGAAGCTTAAAGTTCAGGGCTATTGAGAACCCTGATTCTTGCCACTCTGAGGATGTCTGCAAAGGGAGAAACACACTACAAGAAGAAAGGAAAGATTGAAGAGGAAGCCCTGTTTTCATGCTGCCTTTCCTGAGACCGAGCTGTTCTGTGAAATGCCCCCCTCTGTTCTTCCAATAAATGTCCCTTTTTGCTTACATAGTTTTGAGTTTGACTCTTGTCACACACAGCCTAACACAGAATTCAGAAGGCGGGAACAGACATTGCAGTGACAGCTTCTCTATCCTACTGGCTGAGTAGGGATGGGATATGGGGCTGGGTAGGGGTGGGGCACAGGGCTGAGAAGATCTATCTCCTCCTCCAGGCCTGCATACTTGAAATCCTTGCTATTTGATCATGAAGCAGTGATCTGGAAACCATGTATTATTATCTATCTGCTGGGATTCAGCCTCCACCAGAAGCTTGGACTTGACAGAAAAATGTCATCATTGTTGACATCAGTGAGGGACTGATAAACATGCTTCACCTAGAGTGGCCGCCTGACAGCAAGGCAGGACCAAGCTGCCTCTGCTCTTTTGTTAAGCAGAGTCCTGTCTGCGGTAGCCAGGGATTGGAGGTGTTGAGTCAGATACCCTGAACCTTGGTGAACAGCTGCTCTTACTGTGTGGTTAGGTGCTGCTGAGTTCACTATGACTTACATCAAAACTATGAATAACAGATCTGAACCTTAGCTTATCCTGCACCATCCTCTCCCTCTCTGATATGCTTAAGCCCATTGTGGTAACCACTATGCTAATCCACCTTGTTAAAAAACTTCCTCTCACCAAGAACTCCTGAGCACCTGCTCCTGCCGCCCCAGCAGTAAAGACAGCTCATCTGTACAAAAAAAAAAAAAGTCTTCCTCTCTTGCTCGAACTTCCACCTTTTCCAGGGACCTTTCTGACAACATGCCCAAGATACGTGAGATCAAATTTCCTCATTTACTGTCCAGCTGAAAAGCACAGGCCAATTAATGCACGGATCTAAAAAGCAGGTGACACAGCATTGAGGGCCCTTGAAAACACTGCTCTAAGCAAGATGAGTCAGTTCCAGAAGGACAGGTTTTGGATTATCTCACTTAAATGAAATATGCAAAAATTGGAAATAAGTCAAAAGCATTAATAATGAATGGTTACCACTGTGAGAAGGAGGAGGAGGAGGAGGAAAGGAGGAGTTTTTGGCTTAGATGACAGTGAATTTATCTTAACAGTGATGGCATAATTTGGAAAAGGGATAGCAAGAATGGTTGCATGCCTTGAAGGATGTGGTCGGTGTCACTGAATTGTGCATGTAGAAATGGTCAAATTGATGTATATTTTGTGGTGTCTATTTTCACTATTGTTGCGCACTGTAGAGTCAGAACTGACCCATAGCTGACCCTCCAGTGGGTTTTCTGAAGCAGTTAATCGCACAGGAGGAGAAGCAGGATTCCCTAGACTTCCCCCAAAGCTGTGCCTAGATTTCTCACTCTGATAGATTTCTCAGCCTCTCTCTCTCTTTCTCTCTCTCTCTCTCTCTCTCTCTCACACACACACACACACACACACACACACACACACACACACCCCAAAACGCCTCTGAAACATCTACATCGAAGTCACACAGGCTGCCAACTAGAAGCAGGTCCAACTTTCCATGACTCTTGGCTGGCCTGTTGTTAACTGTCCTGGCCTCAAGGCTAAGGGCTTGGGCAGAGATGTAGGAAGAGGAGGCTCAGACTCAAAGGGCATGCTTTTAAAAAGCTTTGGTCACTGTTTATTAGCAAACAGAGCTCTCTAAGGATGAAATTGGCAGTCTACAACATAGGTCTGGGGAAGAATCCAACTATGTGCTCAGTCTCTAAGGAAAGCTTTAGACTCAAGCAGCACAGTGACAGGATTCAATCTGGGGCACTAGAGTAACTGAGCAGGGAACAAGTCTTCTGGGGTAAAAAAAAACATGTGCCGGAGAAGTTTGCCTATGGGCTGAGTGTTAAATGATATCAAACAAGGAATCACTGGGCATTTTGTGTAATAATAACTCTGAAACAGTTTTCTTAAAAACCCTTATGCGTTAGAGGTGCACACTGAAATAATAGAACATATTTAAACAGATTTAAAATATTCTAGGAACATGGAGTTCAGAGTCAAGCAAAGTTATAAATAAGACTGATAATATGTAAATAGTATTTAGGTGATTTCTTCTACTCCTCACTGTGAATTTCATGTTTGCAAATAAAAAATTAGAAGAGTTTAAAAATACCTCTAAGACCTACATTTTGTATCCTGTAATATACTTCCCTTGGCCAGTGATAACAGATGATATACTATGAAGACTATTATTACTTGCAATAGGCTTTTTCTAGGGAAACAGAGCCAGTAAGACATTTAAACTTCGGTTAAGGAGTCACACTGTCAATGCAAAGGCAGGTGTTTTGAATCGACCAGATGCTCTGAGGCAGGAAGATGGAGAATCTCATTCTGTGTGATTTACAACCTCTGAAAGCTCGCTGGAGAATCAGTTATGAGGCAGTTCCAATTTGATGGCAATGAGTTAGGAAAAGAGGGATTATCTCCCTATTAAGAGATTGATTTCAGGGAACTGACTTAGATGATTGTGGTGGACTTTTCATTGTTGTTATGTGACACTGATTTGATTACAACTCATAGCAATCTTACGAACACCGTTTCTGAACCTTACCCTATTCTGAGCCAGTTACCCCATATCAACACACCTGCTCTCATTGCCACAGTCAAGGTATCAATCCAGGGTCTTCCTCTCCTGCTCTGATCCTCCACCTTTCCAAGCATGATGTCCTTCTCCAAGGACTAGCTGCTCCTGGTAACATGCCCAAAGTAAGGCAGACAGTTAAAAACATAAAGCCGGAGGAATTGATGGAATATCAACTGACATCTTTCAACAAAGAGATGCGGCCCTGGATGTGCTCCCCAGGTTGTGCCAAGAAATCTGGAGGACAGTTACCTGGCCTACCTAGTGGAATATATATATATATATTTGTGTGTGTGTGATTAAACAAACTGTCTTATTCATTAGTGGATTTCTCATTTGGGAATTGGGCTCAGACTCTCTGGCTTCTTCATGTTCAACAGGGGTGTTGATGGGGGGGGAAGGGAGGACACTTTATCACCTTACTGGTGGTCTTGGGTTAAAGCTGCTTGCCTTTTTGTTCTGTTAGAAGATATTTTCCTGACTTTTACTCCCCTCTGGACTGCAAAGTGTTTTCCCAGGTGGGTCCAGTGGGGATGGC